GAATGAAAATGGCACACCCTCCCCTCCTGATTTTGGAATTTTCCTGGAAATCGGAAGGGGAAGTGCTTAAAATGGACCCGAAAATGATACAGTTTTTGGGCATTGTGCACACCCAGAGGCGGCCCTAGGTAATTTTCAATGGTAAACAAACAATATTTTGCCCCCCCCCCCCACCAATCACTGATATATATTTTCTGTTCATGGGAGTTCTGTGTGCCATATTTAGTTCAATTCCATCATTGGTTGAGTTCAGAATGCTCTTTGATTTTAGGTTAACTATACATCCTAGTAACTACAACTCACATATGTCAAGGTCTGTTTTTCCCCCAAGAGAACCTCAAGAGTGCCCCTGGGCAAAATCAAGGAAATTAAAGTGGATTCATTCTACAGTATAGGTACACCGGTTTCCTTTCCCATTGCTGGAAGCTTTGGTGCTGTAAAACTCGTTTTTAAAGAAGGGGTTCTAAGCAGGCAGCAACTATAATGTGTATTTTTTTTTGGCCAAATTACAAAGAGTGCTCTTTATGCTGCTGTGCATTATGTCCAGCAACAAATACTTTTTTTGATTTCAAGGTTTTGAAAATTGAGATATGCATTAGACTAGAGTAAATACAGTACACTGCTGGTCTAAGCAATGACTGCAGCAGTTTTTACTATTAGTTTTCAGAAGCAGTTCTGGACCTCACATTAGTGATGAGATGTATTTAGTTCACACTTAGGAAAGGAAGTTCTCCCACTACCCACCAGAGGCTACTTAGGGGCACCCCTAAAGCCAATAAATGCTTAGAGGATTTACACTAGAATGCACCCTGGATGTACCTGAGACAAACATATTAAAAAAGAAAGCATGGCCTACATTGGCCTGATTAGAAGAATGTTACTACTCACACCCTGGCCTCCACTCTCATAAAGCCCGTCTCTAGTCGCAAGGTGGCATTAGAAACGCATTTAGGGACCTGCAAGGCCGATCTCAGAAACTTTGACTGAACCAGCTCTAATGGGGCAAAACTGGGGAAGAGGCCCAGCTGAGCACCATACAAGAGTTGGGCTAATGCCTTGGCTTCAAACAGCTTGAGCGCTGCCGGTGTGAAGTGGCCCCCTCTTGTCCTTATCTTACCTCTGTTATATAAGGCTTATCTTACCTCTGTTATACAAGCACCCAGGCCATTCAAGACAATTTTATACCTCCATGCTACTTGCAGATATTAATTCAGCTACAACCTACAATGTTGCAAAGTTCTGTGCAGCAGCATACAAAATCCGTCAGGGAATGACTAGTCCCAAAAGTCCCCTCACCCAAAAGTCCCCTCACTAGTCCCCTCACCCATATTGTGCTTCAGTCGTTATATTTATATTTTTAATGTACCAAACATACCAAGTTTGTATGAAAATGTGACTATTTTCTGTGCTGGTCAATGACCGAAATAAATGATTTGATTTGATGTTACTACTCACTGCTAGTTAGGAAAGCTAGACAGAAGCTTCTGGCTGTCACCTCTCATGTCTGCTGATGTTAGAACAAGGCAACTGTGTGATCAGCAAGGAGAGGGTCAGGTCCCCCCACCTGCTGGTTGTGTAGGTATCCTATTCTTACTGTGATGAGACTTTGGCAACTGAGCATTTGCACAGAGTTCCATGGCTGGTGGGGAGAGCTGATGGTGACACAGTGGATAAGCCATCCCCTTTTCCTGCATC